AATCCCGGTGGCTTGGAAGCCATCGTTTTCCCTTGTGCTTTAAAAACTTCGTGTCTGTCTTGTCTTCCGGGATGTCATGATTCATTCCTTTTGTTTACATTTTAGYGTTGTGACACCTGAAAAAATTAGAGCCTCTACATAGAGATAAAATAAAGACAAAGGCAAAAGCCATTCACAGGAAATAAATTCATGGGCTCAAAATATTTTTTTTTTGAGGTGTTTCTCTAACTCTCCTTCTGTAACTTCTGAAAAGGGAACCACGTTTGAGCTGGAGCGCCTTGGTTTGGGTTATTCAAACTTAAGCTGCTGGAGAGCTTGAGCTTTGAGATGCCGAGGACCTGGTTTCTCTGCACAGGGCATGGGCTGCCCTCCAAACCTGCCATCCAAATGCACCCTGACCTGTGGGGTGCCTGTTTTGTGGCGACGTCCTCCCTCAGCTTCAGTGTTTAATGCTGAGAGTAGTCCCAGGAGCAGCAAAGCTGCTCTTGGATGTTCTCTCATGTCATATCGGTTAGTTCGTTTAGCCCGTTGTGTCTTTTTGTGGATTCATGGCACCAAAGAATATCCCTTCAGCATGGATTGCAGGGTCCTGGCAAGGGGGCACCTCTTGGGTAGTTCGAGCCAGCCCCGCAGAGCACGTTGAATATTGGGGTGGAGGAATACCAGGTTTTGTGGGCACAACAGCCTGTGTTGCTAGTCAGAAGGACTATTGCAGGTTTATATCCTCTGGATTATTATATCCTCTGGATATTTTGGTTTGGCTTCTGAAGGAAGACAGGAATAATCAGAGATCACAAACTTGTTTCCCTTTAGCTAGAACCTTTTGCCCTTGTTTTCTTGCACAGATAAGCACAACTGTTGGTTTTTTTTTTATTCTTTTGCCTTTCCCAAGCATGGAAGTTCAAAAGAACCTCCAAAGCATAAGAATAAACTTAGGAAGGTGCAATGTTTACCCCAATAAAGCATTTGTCAGTGGGATTTATAGAGTAACAGGGGCTGGAGAATCCAGTGTCCGGTGCAAAATTCCCTGTGAAGTTATTACATATCCCAGAAAGTCAGTTTAGGCTGACTGTGAGTGCTGGTGACTCCACCGCAACCCTAGGCAAGAAGTTCCTGAAACTAATTATCCTTGTGGTTTAATAATAATTTTTAACTATTTCTAGTTTGTACTTGTCAAAATCCAGTGTTCAGCTATGGGGTCTCATTATGTCAGTGCTTTTTGGCTTGAAGAGTCATCCATTATCAGAAGTCTTGGACACGTATATGATTGTATGTGCTGTTGCCATCTCGCCACTTGAAAGATTGCACAGATTAAATAGGGCGAACTGGGATCTTAGGCATGTTTTTTAGACTTAAGATGCTAAGATGCTTCTTGTAGTTATTTCTTGACTTCTTCCCTGCTTTCCATTTAAGAATACCAAGATGTGACATAATATGTGAGGAACAGCCTGGCAGCTGCTGCCTGCAGAAGTATTTTCAATTCCTTACCTCTTTTTGTGTTTATCTTCTTTAAATTGTAAAATTATTTACTACCTTAGCTACCCRCCTGTGCAGAGTTCATGTATTTATCTGCGATGATCTCCAAATCCTCTTCAGTTTCTGTTCTCTTTCTGAGTATAACCAATAACCAACAATCCCTGTTCTTAGGTGTACGGTTCCACTGGGCASCAGGAAAAAACTATTGCCCAAAGAACTTGCCACCATATGCAGTTGTTGTTTCCTTGATTTTATTGTTCTTCACAAAAGAAGCTTGTTTCCACTTTTCATTTAATAAAAAGGCATTCTCATATGATTTGCAGCCATTGCTTACACTTTTATATGCTACAGTTGCCTCCTCCTTTGGTTTATTTCTTTGCAGGAAGGGAAATTGCCCTTTCTGAAGCAGTGTCTTATGTATAACTGCTTTGGATTTGCACGTGATGAATTAAATTAGGTCATGATGAAATGAACTTCAGTTCACAATTTCCACTCAAAATCCATTATTAGTTTACTCTTGCTTAGCTGCCGTGATCCTTTTTTTTTTAATTTTTCTTAGGTTCCTCACTTGTATTTTCAGAAACTTAAAGAGCTTTTGTTGAGGAAAAATAGTGTTATGCATTTCTTTCTGCTGGACCTTTTTACTTTTGCTTTATAAATCGAAAATATCAGCAAAATATCAGCAGCTCAATATATTTATTTCTTATTTGGTTATGTATTGCAGGTCAGTATTGATACTGAGCCTTGTACTGTGCTTGTTAATGTATTACCCCCCTCCATTCAAACTAGATGAAACTGGCAATAGATTTAAAGCGGGTAATGGTGTTTTTAAGATACCACGCAGTTTACCTGCCTCTTCTCTCTGTTCCAGTGCCTTTTAACACTAAAGTCATTTGAAAATTCTGTGAGGCTTCAGAAGACTTACCGACTCTCACATTGTCAGAAGGGAATTTTTCTAGTTTTGTCCATTACCCAGGTTTCCAATATCGGTATAGAAACAGTAGATTTGTTTTCTTTGTTAATACTTCTGTGCTTTAGTTTTGAGTCTTGCATTCAGGTAATGGTATTACATGGTGCCGTCTCGAATTCCTTCTAATGAGTGCTCGTTGAAAGGCTAATCTAGTTTGACTGGTGTCCAAAATATTTGGTGGCTCTGCTGTGGAGACACTTCTGAGCTGCAGAGACTTCTGCKTGCAGAGTGGGACTCATTCCACAGGATAGCATTGACTTAGCCTATTTATCTTCTTAATCTTCTGCAGTTTATCTCATGTGGGGATCAGGAAGCATTCCCAAGCAGACCGTCTCTCTCCTCCTGTTCAGGGACCTTTAATAACTTTAAAAAACTATTGAACGTGGCCCAGGTCTACCGCAGTGTAGTGTTTCATGGCCAAATGATCAGTCTGCCCTCTGTTTTCACTGTAGAAAACAAACTCACCCTCTCTTGCTGTCACGTCATTGTCCAGCTGGGGAGTCAGTTGTGTTGCATGATTCTGGGTGTGCAGCCGAGCTGCCTTCTGCTCTTGGGGTGAGCGTTTGCCCAGCCAAACGGCTGGTTTCTCCCCCAGCTGAGTGCTGACCTGCCCTCCACGCTGTGAGGAATACCTGGGTTGGCAGAGCGAGCGGAAGGTGGTGCATTCTGTGCAGTCCCTCATAACTGGGCCACTGCTGGCTGTCACTTTGTTATGTGTTCACAGAATCACAGGATGGCTGAGGTTGGAAGGGAGATCCTCCAGAGATCATCTAGTCCAACCCCCTGCTCCAGCAGGGACACCCAGAGCACAGGGTGGCATCCAGGTGGATTGGGAAGATCTCCAGAGAAGGAGACTCCACAACCTCCCTGGGCAGCCTGTTCCAGTGCTGTCACCGTTACACTAAAGAAGTTCTTCCTCATATGCAGCTGGAACTGCCTGTGTTCCAACTTGTACCCATTGACCCTGGTCCTGTCACTGGCCACCACTGGGAAGAGCTTGGCCCTTTCCTCCCTACRTTCCCGCTTCAGGTACTTGAAAAGGTGCTGCTCCGCCTTTTGAAGGAAGCACTGCATTCCCTCTTGCAGGACGCCTCAGAAATTGCCTCTGCCATCAGGTTTAGCTCTTTGCTAGTGTAATTGAATTAMGGACAACTATTCTCAGGCTAAGTGGAGTCAGTCTGGATACAGTTTAATGATTCACGTCCTAGAAAAACATGGTTTTCCTGTTTCTGTAGTAAAGACATTGTTTCTGGCAGCTTTCTTAAAGGAGTGGATTAGTGCTTGGGAAATGCCTGCATCTGAGGACATCTGCCTTTTTCTATTTTTTTTTTTGAACCATTGAGATTTCTTAAAAAAGAAAAACAAACAAAAGAACAAGCCTACAACCTCCCTCTCGTATTTCTAGCGTAGACATTGATAGTTGCGCATCCTAAAGCAAGTACCACGACCACCAAGCCCACCGCAGCACAGTTCAAAAGGAATGCTGATTTTTTCAGTCAGTGGCCAGGGCAGTCCCTTTGCGCACAAATCATCATTTCACAGGGTTCTGTGAGAGTTTTCTTTAAAGTGCATATAAARTGAGTCTTCATATGCCAAGATGAAGGAGAACCCATAGAAATCTCAAGTTGTTTTTCCACCATCTACAGTGGTCGTATATATTCTCGCATTGCTGCAATGTCTCAGGCATACCCTAAAATAAAAATAGATATGTGTATAGAAACAGTGCGATTAGTCCCCTGCAAACCCCAAGTTCCTCTTGGTGTCACCATCCTGCCCTCTGCTCCCCTCAAGGTCTGTTATCTGCCGCTATCAAGTGCGTCACCAGTCACAGCGCTGGTAGCTGCTTCCGTGGCGGATAGGGATGTGTTGGGAAGAGCAGTTTTGTAAGTTGCACAAAAGTCACGTTTTATTTTTCAAGTTGGAAAGTACCGACTTGCAATAAATTGTCGCGTGAGCCTCACACCGTGGGGCTCATTTCATTATTATTGCTGGTGACAGACTTCAGCTTTACCACTGATACAGCAAACCATGTGAATAATGTTTGAAAATAAGGAGAGAGAGGGTTTTTAGGCTAGACATTTCCAAAGGCTGGGGGAGGGACTGAACCATGCTGATAATTACCCTAGTTGGCTCTCATCTTCCTGGCTGATTACACAGTAGGCACTTGACCTCATTTTCACTCTTTTTGTGTGTTAGAGTAGTTCAGAGAGCAAAACCAAGTTAATTTGCTTCTGTTTTCATTAGCATCGTACCGCAGGATCTGGACAAGGACACACACTTTCATAAAGTTAGAGTTTTTGAGAGGCAAGTTATCCTTGGACAGTTTTTCCTTTACTCCTTAATTGTGCCTATTGGAAGGAAGAAATGCTTAAAAAAAGGTGGTAGGGAAGGGAGAAATATATTAAGGGGGAAATACATGCATGAAAATGCCAGTATCCTCTATGCAGCTTATATGATTTAAAATATTTACAAATCTTCTATTAATACTCTGGTGACAGGTGAGGTTGCTGTACGGGCTGATGGTGACTAAAATCTCTTTTTTTTTCCATCTTCCCTAGAAATTAAGAAGCCACCGGTGGCCCCCAAGCCGAAATTTGCTATGGGACAGAAGGCGACACCTCCACCTGTTGCACCAAAGCCTGATGTTGTTCTTTCTGGTGTTATACAAGCAACAAGGAAAACTAAGCCAGCAATTGCACCAAAACCAAAGGTCCTTAAGAGCTCGTCCACTACAGAAGCCAGACCTGCATCGTCTCTGAGGAGGGGCACAAAAAGCTTGGAGGAGCACAGGGGATATTCTACTCAAACACTGGACCACTTGAACTGTAAAAATGGAGCCTCAGAAGAGAGTACTGATAACACAGCATATATTCTACCAATGTCACCTTGCAAATTTGAATGCCTTCATAAGCTTGGAAATGGGGAGAACACTTGTAAAACTCAGATAGTTTTTGAACATTTGGAAAACTTGGAGAACATCAAAGTAGGTGAACAGACTGCGCTAGCTCTGGGCGATGGTCACAGTGAAAAACTGGCAAGTAGAAACCAGGTAGTTTTGAAAGCCAGCATCCTAGAAGAGAAGCTGAAAGATGCTCCGAGTCAGAGTGTCTTCCCTACCAGCAGTCCTGTGAGACACAAGTGTGCAGACAAACTTAACGGAGGCAATAGCACCAGTTCCAAGAACAATGTTAAAATAGAGCTTATGGAACTTGTGCAGCCTTCCTCTTCTTTTGAGGAGGCTAAAGGGAAACAACAAAATACAGACCATAAGCTCAGCACTGTTGAGTCCGAGATGTCTGAAACTTGCCCTAGTTTGAGTGAAAATAACCACAGTTGCTCTTGTTCATTGGACSAGGGACTCCTAGAAAGCAGGAATTTAAGTAGCAGTTTTATGGTTTCAGAAGAAACGAGTATGAAAGCAGACATAGAAAAGACTTTGCTTTCTTCTGAAACATGTTTAGTAGTGAGTCCCAAAATTGTTCCAATTCCTAAGCCAAGAAAGCCACGCACTGCAAATCTAGTCCGTCAGGATGGCATAGACACGGTCGGCGAAGGAACAAAGGAACTATCTAGTTCAGAAAATGATTCCTCTGGGCTTTCTGATCAAAGCTTTAAAAAGCCAGCAAAAATTAACATTCTTGATCAGAGTGTTTCTTACAACAATAATACAGAAGTGCTTCCTCCTGAAAAATCTGAGCTAACTCAAAACGTTGCAGAGAAAATGGATCAGGTGAAGGAACGTGCTGACACTGAGGAGTCAACATCACAAAATCTTTTGCTTCAGATGTCACACAAAGCTTCTAGTTCAGAAGAAAACATTGARTGCTCTTTGGAGAAAGACCTTAACTTAGTTAACTCTGTGGGTAAAACGACAGACGATGCTAGTACTCTAGATGCTGTGGATAAAAGGACTAACTTTATCAGATGTGATGCTTTGTCCATGAGTTTGCCAAAGCAACTCAAATTAAGCGGCAGTCAGCAATCGCCTGCTTCCAGTAGCCTTCATGTTTCCCCACAAAAAATGGAAGATAAAGAAGTTAAGGTAAAGGATGAAAGTTCCCCCAAAATTGTTCCTAAGAAGCCACAGAGGCATAGCCTGCCAGCTGCTGGACTSCTGAAAAAGGCAGCGTCAGCAGAGCTTGTTGAAAAAAGCTCTTACCCCTGCGGTGAAGATAAGAAACCCAGCAGCGTTCTGGAAGGAGCTCACCGCGTGCACACGCCAGCCAAAGAGCAAGGCCTGCTCTCTTCCTGTGACATACCCAAGCGGTCTGCTGAAAAACCCGTCTGGAAGTTACCTCATCCTATTCTTCCATTTTCAGGAAACTCTGAATCATTAAAAACTGCTAATGTYGCTACAAGCTTCAACCATGCGACTGTTGTGACCAAGCCAAGAGCCAAATCTCTCTCTTCTGTGGACATGGAAAGGACAGACAAACCTTGCAAGGACCCTCAGAAGAAAAACAGTTTGAAGAAGTTCCTCAATATGAAACTGTCAGTTTGCTTAATGAAAAGTGACTTCCATAGATTTCTGTCTAAAGGCAGCCACTCAATGGACAGTGCTGTTCCTAGCCATTCCCCGGGGGAAGGGCATGGAAACGGCAGCAGTCGGAATATAGCATCCATAAGCAGTGAAAGGAAGGGTAAATCTGCAAAGGCACATTCCCTGGAAATAAGTAGTCCAGCCTTACAGAAGAAGAGGCAGAGAAACAGAAGTCAACCTGAGATGCGAACTCATCAAAGGATGGAGTCTTTAGAAGGGCAGGTGCTTTCCGGAGAGCCTTTGTGCCAGACGCATTTCACTACTTTGACAAGTACTTGTGCTCCGGAGTACGAGAATGTGCGGCACTATGAGGAGATCCCGGAATATGAGAACCTGCCTTTTGCTCTGGCTGCTGGTAAAAATCTGTATTTTGAATGGCAAAGCTCCAGCAGTGTGGAAGACCAAAGCTCTGGCATGTATGGGATGGATGAGCATTGTGAAGCTACAAGCAGGTGTCCGAGGCATGGCAGGTAAGATAAAGAGACAAAGGAAGTTCAGCTGCTCCGCTGCAGCCCTGTTGGTAATAAGCATGCCTATATTGCTTGGATGATACCTGCAGAGTCCGTATCCCTTTCGTTAAACGTCAGCAGAACAGTCATGTTGCTTTATATCTTTCCGTGTGTGTTTGCAGTTTTGAAAATTTATTTTGCTTGGTGAAGAGAGGTAGAGGCAGGATGAAAAACAAGCTAGATATCCACATGTCTGATAAAAACATGATTGCTTATGCATGTGCTTTTCCAGGTTTATTTAAAGCAATTGGATGTGTATTTGTGTTCAAGAATACTTAAATGGTGACAAATGAACCTTTCCTTAGTCTCAGGGTGAACTGGATTAAGCGTTCATGGAATACAGAGTTGCTAGGTTTGTGGAGGAATGTGGTTGTTTTAGATCAGCTGATACAGCTGGGAAAATGAGGCAGCCTTTAGGGTATGCAGTTTCTTCATCAGGTCTTGAAAGCTCTTCTGGTATAATGAAAGCTACTGCTTCTCTCTGAATACATTGAAACTGAAATCTTCCTGTGCTCTCAGATGCAATAAAAGTAGCAGTAAATGAGCAGCTTTCTGTATGATTCATACAGAGTGTTACTGAAGAACAGGATTTTATGACTCTACAGGTAAATGGAAGCACTTATTGCAGAAAGGGAAGTGAACCTGTGGGTTTAGTTGTCTCAGAAGGCAGTAGAGATGGGTAATATCAGTGGATTCAACAAGCGATGGGATTGACTGACAAATTCCATGTCCAAAACACACTAAATGGAATAGGCAGAAACAGACCTTTTAGCCCCTGTACAAGTGTGACTGTGGGTGCCTGGAAAAGGAGTGGACCACAGAGAGTGGCCAGGCTTGTGTGTCCTCCCCAAGTTCTCTCTGTCTGTGGTACCAAATGAAGCATCATCCTGACCCAATATGTCATTATATAAATTCTCAAATTCAACGAATCAGTTGATCTTGCAGATCCTTGAATTTTGGCTCAAGCCAACTGTTACAGCTTTGAAAGAAATATATAGGCCGTATACTGTGTAGTGGCCACCAAGCTGCTTTACACTTCTTTCTACTTTTTGAGACTGTTTGCATACAGGCAAGAACAGAAGAGCTGGCTTATACATAGCCAYGTTTACCATGATTTCCCACTGAGTTCTGAAGTTTCACTTGGTTCTCTCTGTGTGTGTATGCATGTGTTTGTGTGTGAGGCATGTGCGTGTTCCAAAGAWTTTGGAAACTTGGCATTCTTTTGGGGAATAGGTTTTCTTGTATAGAAGAAGATAAATATTTTAAGTGATAGCCTTCATTAGTGATGGTTTTAGGATTAATGTTCTCGTTGGACTGTGTTGGACTGTGATAGAAAGATTGAAGCTTTATTGTGAGAAGTAGCGTTACTAGTTATGGGTTTGTCATTGCTCTTTGTTATGTGTTATACGTGTTTAAATACTTTATTATTTGTGTCATTGACAGTACAGTGCTTCTTGTTTTGTTTTTCTCTTGACCAACTTGGTGCTGCTAGTTCCTGATCGTATGTATGTGTTTTGATTCAGCCTGAGCTCTGAGTGTCTTTTGGAGGTTTCAGCCTCCTTCTTTGGGTAGTCCCTTGGTTTGATCCGCCTGAGGAGGCGACGACCTGGCAGGGCCTATTTGATGGGTTTGTGTGGTATGTGCTTATGTGTTGTGGTTCTGGGTTAGGTGAATGTTTGTCCTTGTCTTGGGGAAGAAATAAAACAAACGTTTCCTCATATTGAAGCACAACAGGAGTAAGACCTCAGCTGTTCYCTGTGTAGTTCCATACTTTTCTTATCTGGATGAGTGCATGAGGTGTGTAGTCACTCCTGCTCCGTATAAACCTTCTCCAGGACCTAAGTGATCTTTGCACTGAGGCACATCCCTGACTGTAGCTGCTCATTCCTATGTTGGGTCTTCTTCCCTGGGAGAAAARGGGGCTCCAAAGGGCCTGGCTCTCTAGACTAGCCAATCTGTGTCGGGAAGAGCGCATCCAASTTGGCTTCCACACTGTGGTGCGGGAGGCCCAAGGGCCCAACCTAGCCCACATGGAGCCAACCAAGCAGGCAGCTTCTCCGGTTTTCCCATCCTGTATTATCTTYACTCCTTTGAAGTCCTTTTATCAATGTAAAAGATTCCTAAAAGACTATATAGGAAAGGTAAGACAATGATATTTTCCTGTGCCAAGTGGTGTTACAAAAGAAGGCAGAGAAGCATTATTGTAATGACTACTCCTGGTGTTTTCCCCAACCTGTCAGAACATATGCTTATCTTATTTTCATAGACCACAGCACATAAAATTTCTATAATGTACTGCTAATGGCATCTCAAATGCAAATTTATTTTGTAATGAAAGCCAAAGTACAAATGAGATTATTCTGAGAAAATCACAGGGTGATTGCCTCCATTCCTAGCAGGAGAAATGCTRGCACTTGTGCAGGAGAACAATCCTGAACACAAGATTTCCCATTACTAGAAGAGCCCAGTGGTGTATTTAGACCATTTTATGTGTCTTTCTAGAGGAAGAAATTAAATCTCATCATGTACCCATTGCTTCTGTGATTACTGTAAAATTTCCTTCTTATGCCAGTTAGGGGAACGCCTGTGCTTAAATTGAGAAATTGGATAGTTTCTGATGCACTTCTTCTAAATTCACATATTCTATTAAACTTGAACACGTTTGTTTGCTTTGTCCTTCCCATAATAATTTAAATGTACAGTGACAGGCCTGGATAATTAATGATATAGGTATCGGTTGCCCTGTTTAGGAGAATGTTCTGAGTAAAAGAAGTAGTGGCAATACTTTGGCAGCAGATGGTCCATGTATTTTTTGTATTGTTGTAACAAGAAATCTCTACACAGTTTTTAGGGCAGGCTTATTTATTCCATATCTTGGACTACCATTTTAAAAGGAGTCATCAAAATAAATGCATTCTCTAGACACTGTAAATGGAGTGAGTGAAGAATAGATGCAATGGGATAGAGAACATGCAGTTGAATGTGAAAGAAGTTTTAAATGCAGTATTTAGCTACAGATAAAGGAGAAGTACCTCTCTTTTCACTTCTGAAGTGAATGGTGCAGGCCTTAAGTGAGGTGTAAAGTCTATGCTTTCTGATATTGTCAGAAACCAGGAGTAGAAACAGTCTGACTTTGAGGTAACACGATTTTTTAAAGCAAGGAATTTTTATGCGTGTTATCTGTCTCTKCTTAGTACCTTTTTTTTTTCCCGAAGAAGACAGCAAAAGCTTCTTTAAAACCCGATGTAAAGCTCAGTGCACACTGTCAAATAATCCAAAATTACAGTGGAAAAGTCAGCCTGACCTGGAACATAATCAGGAAGCAGAAGCTTAAGCTTCTCAAGACCTTATGGGCTTCCTTTCTGCRTTTGTGGGGATGATGTTGGAGGCATGAGCACTGCGCTTTACCATGAGCTGGCTCCTCCAGCCCTTCAGGGAGCAGCATATACTGCATTTATGGGCTGCTTTTGGCAGTGCTCCTTCAAGATCTTGCAAATAACTGCTATTTCATCTTGACCAAAGTTAGCGCTGTCTGTGTCATGACCATTTTCTACTGCACGGCTTGTTGCAAACCTATTTCCTGCTAGGGTTTTTCCTCTTGGGAGCAGGGCGGGGGTGTCGCATGGACAGCAATATTTTGAGATCTCTGTATTGATTTACCTAAATACGAATTCCCATTTTCTCCCACTCGTGCTGGTTTAGGATGACCTCTTGGCTTCCCAGAAATGAATAYCTCGATGCACAACAGCAGGGTAGTTACCAAGACCGTGTTGTGCGCAAGTCCCCAGGGGTCAGTTGTGTCTCCGTGAAAGCCTCTCTCTGTTGACTTTCATACAGAAATCTCCCTGTGTGATTAACCACTTTTCCTTGGTACCCATCCCTCTTATCTCCACTGCCTTGTATTGGGGCTAGGGCTGCTAGGCAGTGTTGTGCCGGATAAATGCAGTGCTGCCTGGTGGGTAGCAGCTCTAGGGAGGGCTTTGCAACAAGCACATTCCTGTGCAAAAGGATTTGAGTCGAGCACTTAMTTTCTAAACTGCTGCGGTACCTGAAACAGAGTTTTTAAACATTTAGCCTACACTTTGGCTTTCTAAACTTTGAATGCTTAAAATACTTTCTGGGTGTTGAAGGTGCTGTGTTTGATGTTTATATGTACGATGGCATTTCCATAACCTTTAATAAAGCCACCTTGAAAGAGGATATAGTGTCTTGATGACTAGAGGCTGGGGTGTGGATTATGGATTTCATCTGCTTCTTAAAAATCAATTACAGTGGATTAGYGTCTGCTCTGAAGAATACAGGTTCCTTTTCCTCCGTCGGCCCTACAGCCTTGTCCAGCCTTCCAGTTTTCCCTCCTGTGCTTCCAGCCAGGTCCTGCCATCCCTGGTTGTGCATTGAATTCTTACTCTGCAGGCTCAGCTCTAGCTTCAAAGGAGTAATTGAGTCAGCGCCTTACTTAACTTCCTAAAAGTCTTCCTACCCCTTAGCCCTGTGTTGCCGCCAGACTTTTGTCAAACTGTGTTTGAGATATGTGGATTTGAGCACTTTTGATATTGAGAAAAAGTTTAAGGTCCAATGCCTTCTTGTTAGGGGGAGACAAAATTTATGAAAAAAAACAGGAAACCGAGTTTTTCCAATACCAAATCTTTATACTAATACACAGTCCGGTCTTGAAAATATTGGAAGATTTTGTGAAATAGAAAGAAGTGTAAAGATCTTGGCATCTCYTGAAGGAGAATGTTGATATTCTGGGTGTCTTGGATATTTTTCTTCCATTTTCAAGGGCTCCATGTTGATGTTGCTAAAAGAAATGGAGAAGGTGGTTTGACGTAGACCCGAGGCCTAGAGAAACTTCTGGCAGAACTGGAATAGCAGTGAGGAAATGTTTCTAGTTTTTCAGATGGTATAGCAAGTGTTGTGTAAAAATAGATATTAAGTTATTAAGTAAGGTATTAAGATAT